GTGTGTGTGTGTGTGTGTTGCGTAACTTGTGTGTAATTATAACTTTATTTTTGTTCACTTCCGCGTATCATTTTTTGCCTCTATTGTCTATGTTATTATTATTATCGGACATTTGTACTGGTAATGGTTATAATTACAATATTATTTTTGGTTTAAGAATAAAACTAAAGGTTGGTAAGATTATATAAGAGATTTGGAAATAATAAATAACTTCTAAATATTCTAATAAAATTGCATATCGAAAAAACGGAAATGTTAATATTTATGTCTCTAGCTTTTGTTTCTGTGCATTTAAAGTTGAGTAAAATATTAATGTAATCAAGAAAAATTTATGAGTAGGAAAGAAGTTTTTAAATTTTACGTAGGTTGTTGTCAAGGAATACCTTAGCAACGGGACCCGGCAACAAAGGAACACTGACTGAGACACACACCCAAGGCTCAGTCACTTCTTGAACGCAGGCGTCTCCCACCCACCCGTGACGTAGAAATGACGTCACAAGTCCAACCTAGGTGTGTAGTTGTCATGTTGTCATATTCCATTAAGATATTATGGGACCAACACTGAGGATAAACATGCAACAAAAACTTCATATAAGTGAATGATTAATAATCATCAATAAGTGGTGGGTGTTTAGGTAGCTTGAAAATTTATATATTAAGAAAAAACTCGTAAACAAAATACTCCCCCCTGTCAACTTCTCGCTAGCAAACGGTGATGCCATACAGAGAGCACGACATTCTTGCAGTTACAACATATAGACCGCAGTTACGAATCAATAACCATTCTGCTTTTAAAAATAACATATCAATATAATGTCTTACTCACGGTCAAAAATCACATGACTCCTTAAGAGTTGTTTGATGTTGTGTAAGAGGCTAAAACAGCGAGTATCGTCTTAGGGTGGCGGGATTCATGGTGATTGCCAAGCGTCGCAACATGTGACTACGGAGGTTCAATATTGCCTCGTGAAAGCAAAACCTCTCCCCGCCAGCCAGCCCAGAGTTACGTAAGGAGTGTGTTGGACCATGGCTCATCCCGCGTGTGTGTGCCTTTCCTGTTGCAAGTTACTAACCTTTCAAGGACGATGATTTTAACTTATAACCCTTTGAGGTCGATGACTGGAATTACTGAGGACGATGATTTTAAGTTATGACTCTTTAAGGACGAGAATTTCAGATAGAACCGCTTGTTCAAGGGGACAGAAAATGTTCCAACACGACAGTAAAGGAAAAGTGACAATTTTATGAAGGAGTAAAGGAACATCCTGACGCTAACCTAATCTAACCACAACAAACAAATCTCACTTAACCTAATCCCGTATTTCTGGCTGCCTCTCCTTGCCTGACGAATGGAGGCTTTTACAGATTGAGGGATGATTTGTTTTAACGGTTATGGCTTAGAGGAGTCAGTGTCTTATTCTTGTGAGATGATTCAGCCACTGACTAGATAAACTTTGTGAAGAAAACGTAAAATAATAAAGCACAGTTGAGAGAGGTAAACAGTGTGTGTGTGTGTATGTGTGTGTAGAGGTGTTGTGGGTTGACGCGTGGCACCTGAGCTGGTTAATGCCACTTTTGGCACTCACTCCTCACCTGTGAAAGGACGAGGTCACGAGACTATTGATTCCTCGCCACCCATCAGCTCTGTGAATATTGCATGACTCGCATGACGGAGCCTACCAGAGTGGCCTTCACTCTACCCTACCTACCTACCTTCCTTCCCTCCCTCCCTCACTCTCCCTTTCTCCCTCCCCTAAATATATCCCTTCTTCCCTCCCCCACTCTCTCTCTCATCTGCGTATGTAGCAAAACAAACCAGCTATAGGGATAACTACGTAAGCGTATACGCAATTTTTTAGAAGCATCTGAAGATCAAGGTTTACGCCGGCAATGTTGTCTTACGATTCACTATTGTCATTTATCGTTGGAAAATTATCATAAGAGTTACTGACAAATATACAGATGTGTAGGTGGTAGGTAGATACAACGTAGGGAAGTCATGTACATATTGTCACTTGTATACGGGGCATAGAAAGACATGCACGCACACAAACATACACATCGCTACCAAACGTACACACACGCACACCAGACATGCACAAATCAAAGTCAAACACACGTACACAAAACACATGCACAAAGGAAGTGTATAAAATTTGGGAGTATAATATGTGTACAGTCAGGTATAACGAGTGTAATGAGTCAGGTGATATACGGGTATGTTGGGACACCTGCGGCACATGACCCACATGGAGGCAAGCATGACACACCTACCATGCACATGTGGCACTCCTACCAACACTTAACACCTTTGTGTTTATGTGTTTCACTTGTGTGTCATGTTGATGGTGATGGAGGAGGAGGCAGCTTGTATGCATGCATAAACACACACACAGATATATATATATATATATGCACACGTACACAAAGGCATGCACACACGCACACACACACACAAAAACAATATATGTACACGCACACAAAAGCATGCACTGATACATATACACACACACATATATATGCACACGTACACAAAAGCATGCACCGACACATATACATACGCACGCACGCACACATACACACAGTCACATCCACCACCACGCACTAGCAGGGTTTGGTAGTGGACTACTGCACCATCCTCGTCATCGCCACCTACACACCTCACGCAGTCCGCCACTACAACAAAATTCAGCCCATAAGAGTCCGCACTGAGATGTAAGAACAGCACCATCCCATCTATTGTTAAAATAATAAACAACAACTGATTGGTGTACTGTACAGCCCTGTAAATGTATTCAACGTATATCATTATGTCTAAATCACATGTAAGTTTGTATATTTTCAGCCACCGGCTGCAACTCTATTATAAACCGTTTATTATTATTATTATTTATTATTACACACACACAGACATATATGCACACGTACACACACGCGCACACACACACACACACACACACACACACACACAATAAAAAAAACATAAAACGATCAACCCCGAGTAGAAAACAGTGTTACCAATTTAGGCTAAAACCCCAAAAAAATCTTCCCCTACCTACCCTCACCTAATCCTCCTCCCTGCCCTTACTCTAAAGGTCGCCCTCCAATCTTGTATTACAGAGCACCTCCACCTCGTGTGTTAGGTGAGGTGAGGTTAGAACTAGGTTAGGTTAGACTTGGTTAGGTTTGGTTTGGTTATATTAGGCTTGGCTAGGTTAGATTAAGTTAGGTTAACATTACAGTAGTTAATCTTCAGGTGAAAATAAGCTGGGGGGGGTTAATCCTCAGGTGATCCAATAACTCAATATTCTTACAGCTGTGACGGATAACGTGAACAGACTTGATGCCCAGGTACAACCGAATACACCTGGCCTGAGCACGGTGGGTTCGTGTACTGTACGTGAGGAAGGTTCGTGTACTGTACGTGAGGAAGGTTCGTGTACTGTACGTGATTCGGATCAGAGCCATCATGACCTAATTGTCTGAATTTTATAAAGGTAAAAAAAAATGTGTTGTGTGTGTGTGTGCGCGCGCATTTCAGTACCTACACAAATATTTGACACCTGTTCACACTCTACACTTGTACACCTAACAACTGTAGAGAAGGAGATGGAAGAGGCACACAGCTCCTACGTCACGGCGATAATATGAAGCCCTGCAGTGTCTGGGTGAAGTGAGGTGAGGCCACGATAGGTAAGGGTCAGGTTAGGTCAGGTTAGGTTAGTTCAGGGTAATATGGGTTGGGTTGGGCTATGTTAGGTAAGAGTTGAACTGTTCTTGTTAGTTTAGGATAAGATAGGTAGGTTAGAACAGATTAGGATGGCTTAGGGAAACGTTAGGATGGGATAGGATAGGGTTAGGTTAGTTCAGGTAAGATGGGTGGGGTTGGGCTATGTTAGGAAGCTGGACTGTCTTGTTAGTTTAGGATAAGATAGGTAGGTTAGAACAGATTAGGGGATGGCTTAGGGAAACGTTAGGTTGGGCTAGGTTAGGTTAGGTTAGTTCAGGTAAGATGGGTGGGGGCTATTAGTAAGAGTTGAACTGTTCTTGTTAGTTTAGGATAAGATAGGTAGGTTAGAACAGATTAGGATGGCTTAGGGAAACGTTAGGATGGGATAGGATAGAGTAAGATGTGTCAGCTGTGTTCCCCGACTCGTCATAGCCCCACCACCTTCACACACACTTACGTAAATAGAGTTAGTCAAGTAAGTCAGGGTTTCCTTGTACGGGTGAAGCAGAGGCCAGCTGACGGTGCTCGAGCAGGGGTTAGGTTAGGTTTACCAGTGTGTGTGGATTAACCATAGGTAATCTACAAGCAACCATACTCACGTATAACTAGTCACTACAAGCACACACACACACACACACACACACACACACAATAAGCCGCGTTCCAGCTTTCACGACCCTTTTTCCAGGCGTGTCCTCTTGACGACGACATCGCCAACAGGTAGACAGATGGATATGGGGGGTGAGGGAGGAGCCAGTGGGTGGGTATGGACTGGTGGGACTTTTTTTTTGGTGGGTAGGGTGGGTAGGTGGGACAGGGTGGGTAGGAGGACTGGGTGGTAGACATGGGGGTAAGGTATCTGTGTGGTCATCTCGGCGAGTTCCGTTACCAGAGGAAGGGACAAGTCTTCCTGTCCCTATTGATGTAACCTGCCCATGAATCACGCGCCGTCTCACCTGGGACAGGGAAATGGGGGGAGGGAGAGGGAGGAGGAGAAAGGAAGAAAGGAAGGAAGGAAGGAAGGAAGGAAGGAAGGGCACAGTAGTAGCAGGGTATGACTCTCTCAGCACATCTGTCTCAGCTTAATGTTTGTCTAAATGATGAAATATGCAGAGGACGCCCCCCCCACCACAGCTGCTGCCTCATCCATCTCTCTTCCTCCTACTGTCAACACTACTACCACCATCACCAACGAGAACATCAATATCCCATGACCTTGACCTTTGACCCCTACCTCCAACAAGAACAAAAGACAATCGACAACACTCACCATCCCTGGACATGCCGAGAGCTAGACACTTCTGAAGGCGACAGTACTGACAGCGGTTGCGGTTGACGCGGTCCACCACACAGTTCTTCTGACGGGGGCACTGGTAGTTCACAACCGAGGACTGAGACCTCCTGAAGAAGCCTTTGCAACCCTCACACGTGATGACGCCATAGTGGACACCTGACGACTTGTCGCCACACACTTTGCACGGGATGATCTCGATCTGAGCTGTTGAGGGAGAGAAGGTGCGAGGGTATTAGTAACCTGTGAACAGTAGTCATCACACACACACACACACACACACACACACACACACACACACACACACACACTCACACACACACACGATAAATCCTCGGGCAAATCACAATTATCAATACTAATAGCAACAACAATAATAATAATAATAATAATAATAATAATAAATAAATATATATAATAAACAATAACAAAACACGTCACACACAGATACAAGAGAAGAAATCCAGAAATAAACTAAGTGCCTGACTCTTCCACTAAACTCTCCCACACACCTCAACACACTACAGACATTACACAACTAAATCAATCAATCTACTCAATGCTCACCTGTTAATTAATTATAGACAGGTACAACTAATCGGCTCCTTAAGTTATCGGGAGAAAATTTCATAATAAGGTGTGCGTGTTGACGAGTCTGGGATCAATGTCCTGTAGTGTTATCTTACAGTATAACAGCACTGATAACACACACACACACACACACACACACACACACACACCATTAAACAATATCACCTCATTATACCAAATGACAAACACGAACACAAAAGCAGACTCACGAAATAAATAAATAAAAAACTTTAAAATTGGAAAATAAAAGAGGAACGCGCCGCAAGACTTAAGTGACAGCGTGTAACCAAAACCACAACAATTCCGCCTTTCTCAATATGATACGAAAAACCTCGTGTAACTGTATATTTATAGGTATTATCGCATGTATAAGATCCCGGGGATAAAATAAATATAAATTATTTAGAAAAAAGAGAGGAATCCGTTAACTGAGGTCTTATACAAGGCGGTAAAGCTACTCAAATCATCATGGGTTAGGCAGTGCGGCTCAGTGATGATCTCATACCCGACGCTGACGAATGGCTGGCAAGATTCCCCGCCTCGGTGACGTCACTACTACGCTGGCCAATGGCGCGCCAGTCTCCCACAGCTTCTCGGGGCATTGAACTTCCTCCGGTCATTTACTCCGACTCACAGACTGACAGGGAAGTATACTTAATTATTTGAATATTAAAAATTTTACCTTCTATGAGGCATCTAACGTATATTTGTCCATTATTCCCTGTGTGAAGTATCAAATAAATTTATATTAAGGCTGAAAAACCTAACATTGTATCCTTGACCAATTGAAAGCAAGCAATCATGACGTCATGCTGCACGGGAACCAATGAGAAGCAGGAGCTGGCGACGAGTGAGGACATGTCGATAGTGTGTGGGTGCAACGACCTCACCACCCAAAACAGACTAACCGCCGGGGACAAAGACCTCTTGCAATTCTTCCCTTATTATATTTAAACACATTAAGCAACAGGAAATAGAACCCACATTATATGACGTCACTGCGTTCAGGAGAAAAGTCCGGATTGGGTTATACTAAGTAAACAAGAAGGTAGACATATGACTTAGCTGAAACGTGCGTGCGTGTGTGCGCGTGTGTGTGTGTGCGTGTGCGTGTATGTATCTAGTTATTATTAGTCCACTACACCTGTACCTGTATTTCTCACCTGTATGATAATTAAAAATACCCTGCCAATTATTCGGTAATGCGGAAGTGTGTATGAATGAGTGTGTGTTGTCTAAAGGCATTCACACACACACACACACACACACACACACACACACACACACACACACACACTCACTCACACACACTCACACACACACACACACACACACACACACACACACACACACACACACACAAAGTGATACAGGAGGTAGTTTACAACAGGCTCAAGCGCTGGGTTATAGGAGGTTGGTCTTGGGAGTAAAGTAAAGGTTAATGAACTGGCTATGTGCCTGATGCCTCCCTCTCTCTCTCTCTCTCTCTCTCTCTCTGTCTCTACGGCTGCCGCCCCCTCTCTCTTCAGCATTTCCTTTTTATCTTTCTCCTTCTTCCTTACTTTAAACTCACTCTCTCACTTCTCTCTCTCTCTCTCTCTCATTTTTCTTTCTCCTCTTTCCCTCACTTTAACCTCCCCTCTCTCTCTCTCTCTCCTCTCTCTCTCCTCTCATTGCTCTTCACCTCTAAATCTTTCGTTCCTGCTCCTTTATTTTCGTCGCTTTCTTTCCAACCCTCTCTATCTCTCTCTCCTTTCTCATTCTCTCCCCCCCCACCCCCCTCTCTCTCATGATGTCACTTTCACCAACACTATGGGTGTATGTCTGTTTGTGTGAATACGTGTTTACAGTAACTCTGTGTACATGTTTGTGTGTGTATATGTATGCATGTGTATGTAAGTGTAAACGTACTGTATCTATGTGTATTAGAGTTTATGTCTGTTTCTGTGTAAGTGTGTGTGTATGTCTGTGTGTGTATGTCTGTGTGTGTGTGTGTGTGTGTATGTATGTATGTAAGTAAGTGTGTATGAAAGAGCAGTCACCAACCAGCTGGTCAGTGTAAAAGTCACCAGTCCTCCTCAAATGTTAGTTACCTCTCTCTCTCTCTCTCCTCACCCAGCCTCTCCCCATCCTCTCCCAGCCTCTCTTTCTCCCCTCCCATCCTACCCACCCCATCATCTCCCAGCCTCTCCCCGGCTCTCTCCTTCTCACATCCCCTCCATCTACTCCTCCCTCTCTCCCTCCCTCCTTCTTTCTCTCTCTCTCCCAACCCCAGCCATAGTTAATACCTCACCGACTAATTCCACTTTTACCATTGTCCAGAGAGAGAGAGAGAGAGAGAGAGCTAACTTGCAGTCTCTGACCATCTTTTTAACCGAACAATTTATTTCCGGCGAGTCACCTGCACCTCACGTGTGTGTGTGTGTGTGTTCTTTGCCATCCTATCTTGCTGTAACGTGTGCCTCTCTCTCTCTCTCTCTCCAGTCTTAAGTTACTCTACAAGTTGTTGTTGGCTGGCAGTGTACAACATCTTCAAGACGCTCGTGGCACTACTAGCGGTAAGAGGTGCCAGCAGCCCTGACAGTTAGTGGTAGCCGAGGTTGTAGGGCCGGATTAACCCCTCTTCCTTAACTTAACCTAACCTAACCTCACCTAAGAGAACCCAACCCAACAACCCAGCCTAACCGAACCCAACCCAGCCTAACCGAACCCAACCCAACAACCCAGCCTAACCGAACCCAACTGAACCCAACCTAACCCAACCACAACCGTACCTAACTACTTAATGTCCGCTAACCTAACTCATCCTAACCCAATCCAATCCTAATCCAACCAAACAATCCTACCCTGTAATCAGTTATATGAACCAAAAATTCATAAAATAAATAAAAAATAAATTCAAAAGATAAAAAAAACAAGTAACAGTAAAAAAAAGTTGAGACACGAGACATATGGAGTGACGTAATGGTGTTGAGTAACCTGTAGGGGAGGGGAGGAGGGGAAGGGAGGAGGGGAGGGAGGGGGAGGAGGGGAGGGAGGAGGGGGCAGGAGGGAGGGGAGGGAGGGGAGGGAGGGAGGGGAGGGGAGAGGGGGAGGGAGGTGAGGGGAGGGAGGGAGAAGGGGGGAGGTGTGAGAAGGAAAGGGAAGAGGATGAGGAAGGGAAGGGGGAGGTGGGAAGGGAGGGAGGGAAGGAAGGAGAGGAGAGAAGAGGAGGCCGCCACCACACCTGTTCACTTGGCTCATGCACGTGTGTTTACCTGTGTCTGGCTTATCCTCCCCCTCCTCCCCCTCTTGGCTCCCCTCCCCCCTTGTCCCCTTAGCCGTCCTCACTGGCCTCAGGGTGATGTGTAAAGGGGAAGGAGAGGGATAGGGAGAGGTATAGGGGGGAGAGGGATAGGGAGAGGTAGAGGGAGAGGTAGAGGGAGAGGTAGAGGGAGAGGGGAGGGAGGATGGAAGGGGGCGCGTGGGAACTATTTCATCTCTCCCTCTCCCCCTCTACCTCACTACTCCTCCCTCCCCTCATTACTCCTCCCTCTCCCTCACTACCCCTCCCTCTCCCTCACTACTCCTCCCTCCCCTCACTACTCCTCCCTCCCCTCACTACTCCTCCCTCTCCCTCACTACCCCTTCCTATCCCTCATTACCTCTCCCTCACTACTCCTCCCTCTCCCTCACTACCCCTTCCTATCCCTCATTACCCCTCCCTCTCCATCACTACCCCTTCCTCTCCCTCACTACCCCTCCTCATTACCCCTCCCTCTCCCTCACTACTCCTCCCTCTCCCTCATTACTCCTCCATCTCCCTCACTACCCCTCCCTACTCTTCCCTCTCCCCCACAGCTAACAACCCCGTCAACGAACATGAACTAGGTCGTTAGCTACGTTAGAGAGGAAACTAAATATCCCTCACCAGCAATACACATCCATTGGGTCAGTCAGGTCAAAAGAGCCAGAAGTAACGACGATAAAACTCAGCTAAAATTAAAAGCTAAAAAAAATAATAATAAAAAATAAAAAATATTAAAATTGAAAATTACACGAGAAAAAATCCGAGAGATCAAAAGTTCCAGGACACAGAAATAATCTCCAAAAGACAGAAATAAAACCCTGGAGGTAAAAAAAAACCCAAGAGATAGAAACACTCCAAAGACCCACAAACACCCTCCAAAGACCCACAAACACACCACAAATACCTACAAACACTCCAAAGACCCACAAACAACCTCCATCCACCTACAAACACACCACAAATGCCTACAAACACTCCAAAGACCCACAAACACACTAAAAGTACCTACAAACACCTCCAAAGACCCACAAACACACCACAAATACCTAAACACCCAAAGACCCAAACACACCACACCCACAAACACCCTCCAAAGACCCACAAACATACCACACAACACCTACAAACACTCCAAAGACGTACAAACAACTCCATCCACCTACAACACACTCCAAAGACCCACAAACACACCCCAAAGACCTACAAACAACCTTCAACTATCCACACAACCCATCAACCAACAAACACCCTCCGAAGACCTAAACCCTCCAAAGACCCTCCAAAACCCACAATCTCCTAAGACCTACAAATACCCTCCACAGACCTA